TCTAAGCATATAAAGCAAAACCATTGTGCCATAGAAATGGCATTTTTTATCCTTTGCCTCATTAGACAAATCCATGAACCACTGAATGTTCTTGGAGGACATAGTTTCAAAATCAAAATCAGCACCAAGAGTAAAGCATTCCATTGCCAAGCTGAGAAGTGGCCTTCGACTAAATATCATGTATGGACAGCTGACGAAAGAAAATCCTTGCTGCAAACAGTCTCATGGCTGTAATGAACATCATAAAGTTCAATGCTGATAATTTCCGAAGCCAAAAGCTAAAAAGTAGAGCTCATAGATCACAATCCCAAGTCAAAGTTTAGAAAATATCAGAATGTGAAAGATGAACTTTTAACGCATCTCTAATATCTGTTTGAATTTAACAAGGAGTTTTCAGATGTTTGTTCTGTTTTAAATCCAACTTCCCCATGGTTTCTGGCTTAATAATAAGGCCAACTAAATGATGCGCTATGATCAGAAATATTTTTTTCAACACTATTTCATAATAGTAATTTCTATTATCAATCCTTCTTAAAAGATAATTTAAATGTTTTTTTAAAAATAAAATTTTCAGCTGTACCCTATCATAAATCCAGTTAAATATAAAAATTGATCTTTATGCAGTATAGTATTCTTATGAACATTTAGAAAAGCTAAAGCAAATGTCAATCCAAAAACGAGGCACATCCTTGAAAGTAAGGCATAAACTTTTACTTCTATACCAATAATAAACAGAAAACACATTTCCCCCCAAACTGGTACATGGATGACAGAGTTAGTGGCTCTTTTATCTGAAGTCTAGAACCCCCAGTTTCCAAAGTTCAGCAGTGGAAGTTAGGATTTATTCTTTTATTCTTATCTGGAAGAATTTTCTCGTAACACATACCCAAACTAAGCCACAAAACACTCCTTTCACATAAGAAAAGGGATTTTAATTCAAGACACTAATTTGATCATTATCTGTGGTACTTATATTTTTTGAGGTATTATTCATAGTTTCAATCACATTCCACTTGTAGACTCTCATTTAAATAATGCTGACTTTTACGTGCACTTGCAATAATTACAGCATAAGAGAAGCATTATGAGTGATGTGGCACTGTGAAAATAGGGAATCGTATCCAAGATACAATCACCTTAGTGATAAATAGGAATTATTTTAAAAGTAACTAAAAGATACAGCTATTAAAAACAGTTTAATGTTAAAAAGAGTTTTGCTATATTATAAATAGCAAAAATGGCTTTTCATTTTAATCCTTTTATTTCCTCTGATCATACTGTATAGGAAAAAAGTCAGAAGATATACAGAAGAAACACAAAAAGCAAAGGACCTGAATATAAAGCATCTGGACATTTTCTAAAGATATGACAGTAAGTGTTGAGAAAGTCATTTGCATATTTTGATTATCTACCAACTTTGTTTCACTTAGAGAAGCTAAATTTTATTATAGCTAAAACATAAAACAAAGTTACTTTTATACACATTAACTGGAAATGCCAATTACAAGAAACTAAAAGCATTTTAAACCTGAGAAGAATCCTTAAGAATTTATCTAGTCTGTCATTTTTACCACAGAGCAAGCTGGGATGCTCTAACAGTAGTGCCTCCCCCTAAGTGTGCCAGAAGAGGCAAAAAGGGAGAAAGGGATAGAGAACGTGTTTGAAGAAATGGCAGAAAACTTCCCTAGTCTGGTAAAGGAAAAAGTCACACAAGATCAGGAGGCACAGAGAACCCTAAGCAGGAAGAATGCAAACAGGCCCAGACACATCATAATTAAAATGCCAAAAAATTAACAACAAAGAGAGAATCTTAAAGGCAGCAAGAGAAAAGCAAACTGTTACCTACAAAGGAGCTCCCATAAGGCTGACACCTGATTTTTCATCAGAAACATACACTTGGGTGAAGATTTAAATAAACAAACAAATAAAAGCCTAACAGCCTCCAGGGCCTCTAACAAAAAAAATACCTCAAAAAGACATATGTTAAAGACATATTAACCATATAGTTGCTCCCTCCATTTCGTAAGTGTGCTACTACACTCACCGAAGCCAAGCATGGCACCTTATCAAGGTTAAAGAACTCGTTAAAGTCAAATTCTCCTGGGGACTGCTCAGGCAAGACGGCATCCCTCGGCACTTCCTGATCTGCAGCAGGCTCCTGTGCGAGGATGACCTCCACCTCCTCCTCTTCGGCCACTCCTCCATTGCATTCGACTATGCCTAAAAGCAAAACCAGGTCAGAAGCAGGCTGAGCAAGCTAATTGCTACTGACTGAGTCTGTGGCCTCAGCCATCATCACATGCAGAAGAGACATAGGTGACTTTAAAAGCAGACTTCTTGTTACAGTACAGCATGTTCGGTAGAAAAACAGTTCTCTTCCTATGGAAGGAGAATTGTGGTCCCTCCTCTGCCCATTCTTCAAGTTTCCCGCAGTGCAGTATAGTGCTTTCCCCCTAGTGCGCCACAAGAATTTTTAAAACCTGCAATACCTGACTCTTTAGTCAGGGGCACTGACCTCTCCCTTAGACTGCCAAATTTAAAAAATGATAGCAGCCAACACAATAGCCCTCCAGTATGAAGCCCCGCCTTGAACCATAAATACAGGGCGTCTCAAGAAAATGTGTACACACTCTAACAGCTGGGAGCTCAATTTGAAAATGAAATGTGTATTAATAAATACTCCCTTTGTAATTAGTCAAAGTGTGTGCACACATTTCTTTGGGACACCCTATGTATGGGTCACCTAAGAGAGATGCATCTTACTGGTCAGGTCACATAATAAGGTTACGTATGATCGGTTAATTGTTGGTCCCAGAAATTCTTCTACACAAGTGTAGGCACCTGATATTTTTACAAAGTTACTTTGGAGCAAAAAGGGTAGGCAATTACTACCATTATTATTAATTTTTTGTAAATCAATCAAAATCATACCTATTTTTTGTCAGATCAGCAAGAAATACCTTTTTTGATGTGCCACAAAATTTTAGTAATTAGTTTTCCTGTGCCATGAGATGGAAAAGCTTGAAAATTGCTGGTGTGGTGGATTATTTTTCTAACAGGATCTTTTTTTAAGCAGTGGCCTTTGCATGTCTTACTGCTTAAAAATAGAACCAAATTAATTTGGTTCTGTCTTTATACATGCATCTGCACCACCACTTAAGTCAGGGTTCAGAAAGCTAAGATACTGTTGCAGTTGTGTCCCAACTAAGACTCATACATTTATAAAAGAAACTAATTTTTAGCATAGTCACTCTAATTCTGTGTTGTGATGGGGACATCTCTTAACAGATGAATGGCTTTTGCAAGCAGCACGAGTGCCCCATATGCAACTTTCTGTTGTTAATCCCCATCTTAGGGTATTTCTTCCATTGATTTTTTTTTTTTTTAAAGTGAGAGTGGCAGGGAGGGAGGGGAAAGAGACACAGTGAGAGAGAAATGGATGTGAGAGACACTTCAATTGGTTGCCTCTCTCATGTGCTCCAGTAGGGCAGGAGAATCAAACCTGCAAATCAGGTACATGCCCTTGACCAGGAATTGAACCCGTGACCCCTCAGTACGTGGGCTGATGCTCTTAACCACTGAGCCACACCAGCCAGGACTGTGTGCAGCTTTAAGCTCTCTAGAAAGCAGGCTGGGCCTGACAACTGAGAGTCTGTATGAGTAGGAATATGTACTAGCAGACAAACACAACTGGCCATTTATTATGATAAACTCAAAAGTCAGGGACCTAGGAAAAGTAACTAAGAACAAAGTCTCCCAAGTTACCTATCTATTTCCTGCATCACCCGAGGGGAAAAACGTGTAACAGCATACATCCTGTTCAACTCCCAGCTTCACTACTTACTTCCTCAGGGTCCTCAGACAAGTCACTAAAGCCCCCTTTGCCTTCAATTGCTCACTTATAAGATGGGCATAAAAGCACCTAACTCACAGGATGGTTAGAAGTAGGATTATATAGACAAAATGCTTACCACTCTGTGTAATATATATAGTGTGCTCAATAAATGAGACCCCCATTATATCTACCACATGTTTCTATCTCTGGGAATCCTTTTGTGTGCACAGTGCTCGTAGCAGCAGAATGTGAGGACTTTCTGTTTAGCATTGCAGGCAGAGCAAGTTGAGGAGGTAGTATAGGGAGCAGTTTCAAAATCAGGCTGCAACTGTAAGAACTCGCTACTTCCCAATAAATGTGCCCATTCCTAAGTGCATAGTTAAGCCAATTATAAGCACATCGAGTTTAAGAACAGTGAGCTTCCCTCCCCGTTTTTGCTGACCTTCCTTCACAGAGGCTGTCCGTCGCCTTGTTCTTTTTCTCCCCTTCTGATCTTCTTCCAGGATCTTATCATCAAAGCCAGTCAGCTCAATGGTTTCAGACTGACTTGTGGGTCCAGCTGAGAACCATTCTGGTTCTTCTTCTGTGTAGGAATCGTTTCTTCTACGCTCACCAAAGACACGCTTACTATCCCCAAACTCCCTCTGGAAAAGTACATAATGCAGATAAAAAAGAAAATTCTAGTTAAGGCATTTCTACCTCAATCAAGGCCTTGGTGAAGTAAGTAATACTCAATAGTGCCATGAAGATACTATGTTGTAGACTTGAAGCCCCTCTTTGCCCCCATCCAGCTCTCTCTATTCCTCCCTATCTGGCTTAAGAATGGGCCGTGTTCGTCCAGGATCTCAAAGTAACCAGTACAAATGAGGTGACTACTGAGTCCCTAAGTACACAGGTGCCAAGTAACCTAGAAGACAAACCCTGAAACGCTTGTCCTTGTAGTCCCTCTCTCGGTCTCTGTCTCTCAAGTCCCGCAGGTCCTTATCGCTAAGCCGGTGGTCCTTCTCGAAGTTCCTGGCAGAGATTATCCTCCCGCTGCCAATTCTTCGTCCTCCAATCAGGCGAAGTCCATCACCGTCTTTCTCCAATGGGCTTCCTGAGCGCCGGGAGCTAACAGCGGCTGTGACGTGGCAACCCCCTCCGAAGCTTCGCCTCTGTGGGCTGAGAACAACATCTAAGTCATCTTCTTTCAGGCGCTCTCGTGGGTCTGGAAAGATGCCAGAAACAGAAAGGTAAGCAAGCCAGCAAGGGCATTTTCCTCCTCCATGGTATACCCATGACGTGGTGGTGGGGTTCCTGGAGAAGAGTCACCACCAAAACAGTTACCGAGTAACATGTACATTACATATTTACATAAGACAGCCTTTGCTTTTTTATCTTTAGTAGCAATCAATGTATTTAATCATAAATGATTTTCCCAGATTAGTTTCCATAATCCCTTTTGACTATGTCCTTATGTATGTAATTATTAGCAAATGTTTAGTCGACTTATGTTATGTGTCAGCATTTGAAAAACTTAAAAAGTTAGCATCTCTTCAACAAATAGTATTGAACAGTTGGATATCCATACACAAACAAGTGAACTTGAATCCACACCTGGTCTCATATACAAAAATTAATTCAAAATGGATAATAGATCTAAATGTAAAACCTTATCAGCGGTTCTCAACCTGTGGGTCGCGAACAATGAAAATACATCCTGCATATCAGATATTTACATTACAATTCATAACAGTAGCAAAATTACAGTTATGAAGTAGCAACAAAAATAATTTTATGGTTGGGGGTCACCACAACATGAGGAACTGTATTAAAGGGTTGTGGCATTAGGAAGGTTGAGAACCACTAAAACTTCTGGAAGAAAGGACAGGAGAAAATCTTTGTGACATTGGGTTAAGCAAAGTTTTCTTAGGCATGACACCACGAGCATAATCTCTTTAAAAAAACGATAAAGGGGGCTTGATCAAAATTTAAAACCTCTACTCTTTGACAGATACAGTAATTCCTTTCTTAAGTTCTCTTAAGGTAGTTGATAGGTTCCTTAACTTTAAGTGAAACAATGTATAACAAAACCAATTTTACCAGAGGCTAATTGATATAAACAAGAGTTAAATTCCCATGGCATTTCCTCAATGTTAAAATGAAACGACACTGAACAAATGATGTTCTTTGAGAACCTGGCATAGTACTCAAAGAATGGAAAAACAAGCCACAAACTGGAAGAAAACATTTCAAAACCATATAGCTCATAAAAGGCCTGTACCCAGTACATATGAAAACTCTAAGAAAACTCCAAATGGCTTGAAGAGACACTTCACCAAAGATGATATATGGTTGGCAAATAGCAATATGAAAAGATATTCAACATCATTAGCCACTAGGGAAGTGTAAATTCAACCATATATGATGCCACTACACATCCATTAGAATGGCTACACTCAAAAAGAATGACTGGTGCTCTCCCTCCTGAGAGCACGCCAGGCCTTTCCCTTCCCCCTCTTCTTCCGCCAAGTCCATCACCTTTGACTTTCTCCTGAGCTCCAAGGGCTCTTCTTCTTCTTTCTGCCTCTCTAACTTGTTTCTTGACCTTATGCAGCCCAGCGGGCTCATTCTACTCCCTCTGTAACTTTCTAAATAAACTTTCTCTTATAATTTGAAGAAAAAGAAAGAAAGACTGACCATTCCAAGTGCTGACAAGGATGTGGAGCAGCAAACGGAATTCTCATCCAGTGCTGTAAAATGGTATAACCACTTTTAAAAACAGCCTGGCAGTTTCTCAAAATGTTAACCACATCTACCATATGACCCAGCCATACTACTTTAAAGCTATTTACCCAAGAGACAAGAAAGCATATGTTTCCATAGAGACTTGTACATGAATGTTCATAGTTTTAATAGTTAATAACTGGAAACAATCCGAATATCCACCAATAGATAAATGAACGGTGGCGAACTCATACAATGAAATACTATTAGAAAATAAAAAGGAATTACTTATATACCCAACAACATGAATGAATCTTAAAACAACTATCCTGAGTGGAAGAAGCTACCCAAATAGTGCACGCTGTCTATAAAATTCTAGGAAATGTAAACTAAAGTAGAGTGACAGAAAGCAGATCAGTGCTTGTCTGGGGGAATACAGAAGAGACTCAGAGGAGTACTAGGAAACTTTTGGGGGTGATGGAAATGCTTATTACTTTGACTGTTGTAATGGTTTCACAGGTGTATACACATGTTAAAACATCAAATGGTATGCTTTATGTGCAGTCTATTATATGTCTACTAGAGGCCTGGTGCACGAATTTGTACACAGGTGGGCCTGATTGGGGCCGGGCCAGCAGGGGGGAGGAGATGCGGGAGGTTGGCCGGCTGGCCCCACCCCCCGATTGGAGTGGAGGGGGCTGATTGGGGCTGCATTGTGCATCAAAGCAACCAGTCATGCCGGCGTTCCGGTCACTTGGCTTTTATATAAATAGATTATATCTCACTAAAGGTGTAAGAAAAGTAAACATGTTAACACACACTCAAAAATTCTTCCTAGAAAAACCAGAAAACTAAAGATAAGTCCAAGTGAGAAAAATCTTTTAATCCTCTCATCAAAATCAGCTCCTAAAACATTTTGGTGTGTACTTTTCCAGAACTTTTCTGCAGTGTCTGTTTTTTCCAACACAAGGTATAATATGGGCAGCTTTATATAACTTGGTAAACACATCTCCAACATGTTTTTAACAGCTAAACAATGCAATACTCACACATACTCAACCCATTTCTACTATGGACATTTAGGTTGCTTCTAAGTTTTCATCATTCTAATAAAGTCTGTGGCACATCTTTAATGATTCTGTTAGAATAAATTCTTTGAGGGGCATTACTGCACTGACTGCACTGGTAGATTCTTTGTAGAAGGATCTTATAACTCCAACTAAAGTCATCCTATTTTCTTTGCTCAGTTATGATGGGTCTTCTCTTCTCAAAAGGAGTTCCTCTTGCAACAAGTTTCTTGACTAGTTTTTATATTGCCAGGTCTCCATTTCACTCTTCAGTATCTTTTCTAGTTCAAAGGGGTAAAGGTATGGAAGATCAAACTTTACTCCAGTCTCAAACCTTATCTAAACCCTGTATTCATATCATACTCCATTATGAATTAAGAACTGCCAGAACTGATTTATACCTGAGTACTAGTTCTCATATGAGACTAAGCATAACCAGATTTCCAGCATAGCTTTATGCTCCCTACCATACCTAACTCAGTTATCTACATCAATGAATGACATTAGTACTTTTCATTTAAAAGCACATAGCCTAATGTGTCTACTTGCCACTGCTGCTACACATGAAGGCTATGATTTTACTCAACTGGAAATCAGTTTCCTGATAATGACGCTTTCCCTCCTTGCACAAAGCTCTCACAGCTAAGAATGAAGCCAGCAGCAAAGAGCATTGTCTCCAAACTGCTGCCCCCACTTCCGAGTGGCTGTGCTCACCTACTATCCTGCGCACCAGGGAAGGCCGGTCTGCATCCAACTCTTTTTTCACACTTTCCACTGGGGAGCTCCTCCCGGAAGCTGGGTACAGAGAGGCGTGCCACTTCTCAGGGTCCCAGACACCGTCACTATAAGTCAAAGGGCACCAACAGTTAGCATTTACACCCAGGAACTACACATGTTGTCTCATTTACGAACTTCCTCAAGTAATAAGTTGTGGAAATCCCTTTCCAATATAAAATGTCATGGTTACCATAAAAATGGCTAAAAATGGTTATCTATTTTAAGATGAAAACAAAAGCAACTATTAATTCAGTAATATTTTGTTGTTCACGTAACACCAGTAGTCGCTTGAAAACTAGTCATCTGTTTCATAAATGAAACATTCAGATCACATACCTTGGGGTGCAGTAACTATGCCTGTTCTACACAAAGAATATGGCTCCATAAATATGATTACTCAGTTTACAGAAGATTAGTACAAGGAGGAAAAACCCCTTAATCCTCTCACTAGAAGTAGCTCCTAGAATGCTTGGTGGGTATTTTCCCAGAATTTCTATAAATAGTCTCAGTTTTCCCCATAAGCTCTTACTAGTAAGAGCCTAAAACGTGTGGTTTGGGTTTTAGTTTGCCTGCCCTCTGATGATGGGGTGACAGCTGGTACAGTGTGCATAGCAGCTTTGGAGCCCAATGATCTGGGACTGAATTCTAGCTCTGCCATCACCACCAGGGACACCTTAGACAAGTGCCTGAGCTATGCCCTTCTATCTTCTGCAGAAAGGACTTCCCCAAGCCCAGATCAGACCAGCTGCACTACACACTAGCTCTGCTCTCCGCACTTGTCCTTCACAGCCTGTACTGGTGGCAATGATAACCTCTTAGGAGTATTTGATTGTGCCCTTCCACAGACCAATGTTCCACGAAGGAAGTACTTGACAGCACCTGACACAGTGTTTGCCACATGGCAGGCACCAATGGAACATTTCTTGAATAAGTGAGTCAACCTCTCTGTCTCAAACTCCTCACCATAAAGGGGACATGACCTGTCTTTTAGTGCGGTTTTGAGGATTGCTTAGAGTTTAGGAACCCAACAAATTTTAATTGTCAGAGAAGAGAAACAGCAGAATGAGAACTTTTCCCTCTTATTTTCATTAGCATTACTAGGCATAATGTCTCCACTTCAGAATAAAAGTGAATGTGTATGCCCACAATAACTTTATTTTATGTCAAGAAGAAACAGCTGTAATAAGAAAATTCAATTTGAGGCATAAAAAAGCTTTACAGCTTTAATGAAAAACAACAACAGATTATCTGAGACTTATTAAAAAGTTCTAACCATGTGGAATAGCAATTATTCAAGTATCCCCTTCATCAGGGTAAAGCAGATGAGTCCAGATTTAGCAACCTTCTAAACAGTCCATATACAAAAATAAAATGAATATGCACTATTCAACCAAGATGGATGCTTTGTATGTTAAAAATGTAGACCAGCCCTAGCCAGTTTGGCTCAGTGGATAGAGCGTGGCCTGTAGACTAAAGGGTTTCAGGTTCGATTTCGGCCAAGGGCACATGCCCAGGTTACGGGCTCAATCCCCCCAGTGTGCCCTGTTGTGTTGAAGCTCAATGTCAAAACCCCTATCTCCCCACTCATAATTCTATCAAGAAGCTCCAAAACAATACAATTCTAAATGTACCAAGTTTGATGTAACAAGCTGACCAGAAGCAGGCCCCCCCTCCCACCATACCTGTCGTATTTTTCAGAGAGGCATGAAGGCCTTTGTTTGGAATGAGGGCGTTCTTTTATATCCAAGAGCTCCTCCTACAAAGAGAAATCAAATGGTGATTTTGAATACTGTTTCACACACTTTTGCTTTTTTTTGTTTTCAGTAATTGAGTGTTTACCTTAAGCATTTTAAACAGTTCCTATTTATTTATACCTGACTTATTCCCGAAAGGACTGGAGTCAGTTTAAGGTTCTTACAAGAAGTTCAAGCAAAACCGGCAAATAACCTAACAGTGATCAGTTTCTTGCTAAGACACATTCTCTCACAAATCACTGTCCAATAATATATTCCACACACTGAATGCTCCTCACGGCATGGAAGCATTAGGCTTACCTGAAACCTCCCGCTCTTAAATGTTACCACTCTTAAATGCACCAGGTGCCAATTTATAAGGAGACAGATTTTTAAAATGGATTTCAAATTCAGAAACTTTTGTGTTTCAAATTACTATTAAGAAAGCAAAAAGACAACCCCCAAAATAGGGGGGGAAATTACAAATCATATATGGTAATCTCCCTTTACCCCCAGTTACACTTTCTGAGGTCTGGAATTAGATAGTAGTGAAGGCTGCACAGCTTTGTGAATTCACTAAAAACCACTGAGTGGTGTACCTTAAAAGGGATGAATTTTATATTTCTGAATTATATCTCAATAAAAATATTTTTAAGTAAACACAAGTGAGAGATTCAGTTACCAGAGGATAATGTTTTGTTTAATTTCTCTTCTTACAGATTTATTACTCAATCAATGACTGAAAAATGCCAACTATTCTCAGGTATAAGAATCACTCAGGTTGGTAAAAATGTTTTAACTTCCCCTCCCATATTATTCCAGCTTTCTTTGTTGACTTTATATGCTTGGCATTTTCCAGGTGTGAACAAATACTCAAGTGACTGACTATACAAAGCCTATAGGAGCAAAAGATAGAGCAATGAGCCAGTTGCACACCGGCATTCACTATGCTAGCAGTACCATTTGTGACAGGGTACACCTCTACTGGAATGTCGACAGAGGATGAAGAACCACTTTCTTCAATAGGCTGAGAAGTGGGAAAACAAAACCATTCTTGGACCGTAAAAGCTGATGGGAATAACTTAAACATCAAGGTAAACTTATACTTATGGTTCTTGAGAGCAGAGCTTCTTAAACCAATTTCAGGGCCTCAAGGAATCATATACAAAATTGTGCATTTCAGCAGTGAGTGTTTATACCTTCAAACGATTGCCAGTAAATCCTAAAGAAGTTAAGAAGTAGTACTTTAAACCAATGACGTTTCTCAAAATGTGACCCAAGATCCATCTGCGCATTTAGGGAAACATGAGAATGCTCCTCTTCGTGGGTTAGAGAGCTGGAATCTGTTGTCAATTGCATAAGACATAGGTATCCCAGCCTGAGAGGATCCCCCTCTTAGGTGGGGAGGAGTCAACACAAAGTTTGCTTTTTTCATAACTGTCACTGAACATTTCCTGGGTGCCAGGCGTAGTCTAGCACAGGCAGATGACTCTTTTTCCTGGCCTCACAGCTCTCCAGTTTCTCAAGAGGGCTTGCTATCTCATCTAGAGCCCTTAACAACAATTATTCCTGGAAAGGAACCACTTTGGGATATTTTAAAAGAAAACCTTCAACTTTAGCTAAAGGAAAAATACTTGGAAAAGTGCCCACTATGGTTTTCTGCACAATTGAAACATTAAAACTGTATAATGATTTTTCCTTTTTTTTTTTTTGTTAATCTTCACCTGAGGACATTTTTTCCACTGCTTTTTATTTTTATTTTATTATTATTTTTAAAATCTATTTTATTGATTTTTTACAGAGAGGAAGGGAGAGGGATAGAGAGTTAGAAACATCGATGAGAGAGAAACATCGATCAGCTGCCTCCTGCACACCTCCTACTGGTGATGTGCCCGCATCCAAGGTACATGCCCTTGACCAAAATCGAACCTGGGACCCTTGAGTGAGAAGGCTGACGCTCTATCCACTGAGCCAAACCGGTTAGGGCTCCATTGCTTTTTAGAGAGAATGGGAGGGAGGGAGGGGGGAGAGACACACACACATTGACTGGTTGACTCCTGGGAGCACCCTGACCGAGGGTGGGGGACAGGGAGTGAACCCACAACCCAGGTATCGAACCCATGACTCTTGGGTGCAGTCTGATGCTTTAAGCCACACCAGCCAGGGCTCCTTTCTTCCTTACTATTTATTTATTTTAGAGAGAGGGGGGATAGGAGAGGAAAAGAGAGTGAGACAGACAGACAGTCAGACACATATCAATTTGCTGTCTCACCCACCTATGCATTCATTGGTTGATTCTTGTATGTGTCCTGACCAGGGATTGAATCTGCAACCTTGGTGTATCAGGACAACACTGTAACCAACTGAGCTACCCGGCCAGGGCTATCATGACTTTCATACCATAATTCTGCTTTCTCCAATATAAACAGGCACCCCTATTTTTATATTAGCTTAAGAGTTTGCAACTAAGTGTGCCACTGAAATGCCACCTGTTAAAGATTACTATTCAATTCAGTTTATGAGAGAAACCTATGGCCATACTTTGAGTAGCTAGACTTTAGTATTCCTTGAACAACCCCGACGTTATCAAATGAGACCTTTGTACAAGAAAAACCAACCATCTGACTACTGATTTCAACTTAGGGTTTAAATCAGTTACTGTTTTCTTCTCAGAAGCTTGCTGACTTCAAGTTTTGCAACTGATTTTCTCTAAGAAGGCTAGGAGGTTACTCAAACCAGTCCACTTCAGTTGTTTACTTTCTTAATGATTTTAAAGCAAAGACATAAACATGGCTGCACCACTGAGACCAATTGCCCACCAGCCACAAATGAGGGGGCCTCTTTTAAAGATCCCTTACAGACACTGATGGCTAAAATGGTGCCAATTCTCAACAAGTCAAGGCAATGAAGATCACACATGAAATTAAGCTCAGATAATCCAACACCTACTTTTTAGATTTCACATGCATGATGAACAGTGGTCAGTATCACGATGAATGTTCTGTGTCCTCTGTTTTTATTTCCTGTCCCCTGGCAGGAGGCAGCATTTAATGAGTTGGTGGGAAGATAAAGAGCAAAGGAGGAATAGCACTAAGTATGTACACTCTATGGTCTAAGATCAGTCTGTTCACTTGAAGAAAAAACATGGATCTGAATAACGGGACAGTCCAAAGCATTTCTATTTTGTATTTCAAGTAGAAGATGATATCACTAATAGAATAGCCAGTGCTGCACCTCAAGAACTGGTAAATAAGGGCCTCTGATGAAGGTAAGAAAAAGCTGAATGGCTCCCAAAGTTTCTTCACTAATACACATCACTATTTCCTGTTTCCTAAACCAATGGTTCTCAAACTAGAATCAGAGTCAGAATTCCCTGAAAGACTTGTTAAATGCTGATGACTAGGCCTTATCCCTAGACTTTGATTCAATACCTTTGGGATGGGACTTGAGACTTTATATTTCTAACAAGTTACCAGATAATGCTAAATGCTAGTTCAAAGACCACATGGTGAGAACCACTGTCTAAACCAGCGGTTGCCAACCTTTCGGACCTCACAGACCACCAGTTGGTGACCGCTGGTCTAAAACACTTTTAATCCATGACTTTGAGGTGAGACCCACTCTATAACCTCCAAAAGTCTCTCAACATAATCCAATCAACTTATAAATGCACATTTAAATACTATGGAAACACAGCTTTTGATCTCAGTAATCTGACTTGGCAAAATGGACCTCCATCGGTTTATAAATTAAGGGCTCAAACCCCTCAGGACAACAGGTGCATTTGAAAAATCCACTTATAACCATCCCCATTAATCATCACTGAGACTTAAGGGTAGGTCTGAAAGTACCCAGTGTGAGTCTAAATTGAGTTCCTGAGATGTTCATGGAAGCACAATGGACACCAACTGAACCAGGAGGAGTAACAATGCATCTGAGTTGCCTGACAACATCAACACCATGTATTGGGTTGTTCAAGGAATACTAAAGCCTAGCTACTCAAAGTATGGTCAGTGGACCAGCAGTTTTTAACTTGAGAGCTGGTTAAGAAACTGAATTTTCAAGCCCATCTCTGACCTAACATTCAGAATCACACTTTACAAGGTTCACAGGTGATCCTCGGACACAAGGAAACTCTGGTATGTTACCCTTAAAAGCACTTAGCCAAACATCTGGACCCCTTACCTTCATGGGGGAAAAAAGCCCTCAAATTCTGAACAGACTGTTATTATCCCATAAAAACAACTGAATGCTAAACTATGAAGGGTCAAAGATTAAGAAGCCTCTCATCTGGACAATGTGTTTTATACTTTTTTGACCTTGTAGTAAAATTCCCACATTTACAAAAGTTTTCACAAAATATATCACTTACGAAAATCATTGAGGACAGTTTCCTCCTACTTCTTCTAAACTTTCTAGCGCATGAACTTGAAGTGGCAGAAGTATTACTAAATGCTTTACTTATTCCAATTGTTTGATCTCTGTATGATGATAAAGAATAGGCGAGCTCAAATACTATTCCAGTTGTGGAACTAATAGACCATTTATTATGGTACTCAGAACTCAGGATTGCTTTAAGCTTTCTTTAAAAGAAGAAAGGCTTAGTTTGCCTCAAGTCTCACATAAAATTACTAGTGTTGAGTAACATATATAAGAAAGCACTACCCTAACTTTGCGTAAACACAATCCTGAAAGTGCCATTAACTAAATCCTTTTGAATGGAATGGAAAGTAAGCCTATTTTCAACTAAATTTGGTAGAGAAGACTATTAAATCTAAGCCCCACTGTCACTCACTTAAAAAATGCTTTTCTTAACCATTTTAGGTACAGAGTTTTGAGGTTGGACTAAAAAAATGGGCTATAATGAGCTTTTTATTCTTTACTGTAGACATACATACGCTCTATCCCAAGAGAAACCAATAATAACGTTCTAAAAATGACTTAACCATCAAGATGGATAAACATTAAGATGAAATACACATGCCAGCCTCAGGTCAGCCTGTGGAAGTGTCAGTACTCTACCAGTAGACTACCAGTCAGAACTTCATTCAAAAAAGTTCTGGCAGAGTTGAAATCACAGAAGCTTATAAAAGTTTCCCTTCATTTAATAAGCTTTTCTCCATTCACAATTCACCTGTCAACATTTTAGGTAATGAATTTAAGTTGTGAACACTACTCAACAAGCACCCTCAGGTTTGAGGAGAACTACATTGGGGAAGACCAAGCCTGGATGAAGTAAAATGCTATCTATCAACTCTCACTGTTACGCCCACACAGACTGCAGTAAGACAGCAATTAACCAAGAACTCTTTTGCACTTGAACACACTTTTCTCCCTCTAAAGAGGTTTTTTTTTTAAATGCTAGAAATGAATATTACTTGACAGCATTAGATACTTTATCAAGTAGGTAAGAGTAGTGACACAAGTACACAAACAAGGCCTCACTTTAAAATATTAACCAATCGGTATCCTAGCAAGCCAGGGACAATACCACCTCCAAGACCTGACTGGGTCCATAGTAAGAAAGTATAGATATGGACCCAACTAGGACATAATCCTTTCTGTCAACAGTCCCAAGCACATTTTATATACTCCAGCCCAGTACCCCAACTAGGACATAATCCTTTCTGTCACAGTCCCAAGCACATTTTATATACTCCAGCCCAGTACATCGCAGGGAGCCAGAAATGAATTCACAGCTCACTCGGTCCTGTCAGCCTCTTCAGAAACATTCAGTAACTGACAAGATCCTGAGGGAAACAATAGCTTTAATAAAAATACCACACTCCCCTCCAACCCCTGGCAAAAGCAGATCTCTAGATGAGCAGTTTAAAATCACGAGTTTTCAGCTAGGGTAAATATAATTGAAGTCTTACTTCTGTGAGTCCATATTCAATTTGTGACAGGAACTAAAAAACAACTGAAAATCTGGTGATTCTAGCCAAGCACCTAGAATGCACCCAAGAGCATTCCTTTGGGGTGTTCACCGCTTGGAAAACATCAAAACACAGGACACTGCTTTTGTGAGGCATCTCAGAGATGCAGTTCCTACTCTATAGCATGTAAGTCAACAACATACCAGCTCTTACAGAATGTGTGTGCCAACGTATACTGGTCCACAAATTCATATGGGATCCGAGCCAATATTCCTCTCACCTGAAAGCTACTGAGAAGCAAATTCTACTTTAAACTGGGTATTCACTCTTTCAGAAAAAAAGTTCAAAGCGATGCGTTACGAACTCTAGTTAACATTTAGTCCATAGAATGAATGGAATGTCACTACCATTTTAGATAATACCAATGAAATACCTACACAATGTTACCAACCTCCCCACCTTTAGGAAGAAACACTATTTCATTAGTAACAAAGCCTACTTTTGTATAGCGATGGGGGGCTTTGGAGGCCAGTTGCTTCTTCAAGTCAAGGAAAGCATCTCCATTTTCTATGTCACCCGCACTTCTCCTATCCATGGCTCCTCCCGGGTCTACGATTCTTTGCACCTGGAAGATAAAGGAGCACAAAACTGTCTCTGAGAACAGTACATTTGCAGAAGTCTTGACTGTTTCAGAAACTGAAACTTTTCCCTCTTAAAATGACTACCATTAAGACACAAACCTTCACCCAACAACTGTGCTCTAAACCAGAGCCCCGTCGGAAATGGCACCCCTGGTACTGGGTTATCTCTTCTAGTAAATAAACATCAAAAGGGTGAGAACAGCAGGGGAAGGTGCCCAGGTCAGGGGACAGCCTTTCAGCTGCTTTACTACAAAAAGGAACCAAGATCAGCGGCTGCCACCCATGGAGACCGGTCGCGGCGCCGCGGGGAAGTTTCCCGGACTGGGGGCAGGTAGGGCAGTGGTTGGGGCCGGAGAGACGGGAAGTCGGGCTGTCGTCAAGTGCCTGTCACTTGCCAATGGACGGCGCCAGCTGCCCCTC